TCCAGGGAGGGCCGGCCGGGCGTGGGCTGGACCTCGGGGCCGGCGGGGCGTGGGTTTCTGCGCCTTCTCGCGGCTTCGCGAAGGCCGTGGGTGCCCGTGAACGATCTGGGACGCATGTTCGACGTATGGACGGACTTAGGTTCACAAACGTGTCCCGGGAGCCCTCGGCGTGTCACCCGGTGGGGGTCCCGGCGCCCGGGGGAGGCTGCCGGAGAGGAGAGGAGCGGAGAGGAGAGTTGGTTCGCCACCTTCACAGCGGCCCAGCCTCTTCCCCGTCCAGAGTGTTCTGGCCCGGAAGCCCCCACCGGTCGCGGCGATCACTGCTGCTCCCTCTCCTGGCGCCTAGAAGCGCGCTTCCCCGCTGCTCTCAGCCAGCGCGGGGCTGCACCAGGCCACCTCGGGCACCACAGCCTCGCACTGCTTCCCACTCCCCGCCTTCTGGGGCACCTCGACATGTTTCACCTTTTAGCCCAGGGGGTTACCTCTCCCAGGAGCATCCCTGGTTCGTCTCATAACCTTTGTCTTCGTAACGAAATGTCAAGCTCCCCCGGGCAGCCAAGGCGCCTCTATGACCCCGTAGTGCCGGGCAAATCAGCCTTCGGTAGGTCCTTGTGGATTTCCTGGTTGCCCGGCAGCGCTCCTCTGCCCACGCCTGCAGGTGGCGCTGGCTCCCTTGCCAATGGTCCTGCACCCCCGAGTGTTCAGCCCAGGGCCCAGCTGGGGGATGGAGGGTCCCAGTGGGATGACAGCCCTGGGGGTCCCCCTCAGGAGCTATAGTGTGATCTTTCATGTTTGTTTTGTTTTAAGAAACACATTTTTAAAAATGGTTTGTTTGTTTGTTTGTTTGTTTATTTATTTTAATCCTTATCCGAGGATCTTTTTCCATTGATTTTTAGAGGGAGTGGGAGGAAGGGGGAGAGAGAGAGACACACACACATCCATCGGTTGCCTCCCCCACATGTCCCAACTGGAGCCAGGAATCCTGCCTGCAACCGAGGTGTGTGGTGCCTTTGACCAGACTCGAACCCGGGACCCTTCAGTCTGTGGGCCAAGCAGGCCAACGCTCTATCTACTAGCACTGAGCCAAACCGGCCGGGGCATCTTCCATGCTTCATAAGTGAAAGTCACAGCAGCACAGCGGTGTCTCATCCCACTTGAACTTGACCTTCCCTTTTGCTGACAAGGAATTCGAGGTGCTGGGTCAGGGCCGCCAGGCATTGCAGAGACAACCATCCTGAGGGGCCTTTCCGGGGCTCCTGCCCAGAGCTCTGCCGGAAGCAGTGTTCAGGGCCATTGGACACTGCGGTCTGTCAACAACCAGACTTCCCTCCCGCCCACCCCCCCACCCTCTAGCGGGCTCCCCATCAGAATTGGAAATGGGGGGGAAGCTGCAGCAGATGGTTTTTGGAAGGTCCCTTCCCGTGTTGGCAGACTCTGGTTTTTGTTGGATTCTGATGGTAGACGCTTCCTCTGTCCAGTGTCTCATTCCCCCAACACTAGTCCCTGAGTTACTAGGTGAGGAGTGGGGAAGGGGAGGGATTTTATTCTCTGTTTTGCTTCTGGAAAATAGAAGCCAAGATATGCTTGCCCTTAATGAGTGACTTCATACTGATCAATTTAATTGTTTTTCCCACAATTTTTACTTCCTCTCTGATAATCCGAGTGCGTATGTATTGTGCGTACACACGTACACACATACTCTTCAGATTACACAGCGAACCGCCCTCTTTCCGGGGATCTGGATCACCTTTTCGTGTTCCTCTTAACTTTTAGGGGAAACTGACTCTACTCTGTGATGCCGAGACCGATGGCAGTTTCCTTGTGCACCACTTTCTCTCCTTCTACCTCAAAGGTATGGGACCCATTGAGGCGACTGAGAAAGAAACCTGAGGCCAAATGTGCTTAGAAAAGCCTGTTTCAGGAATAAATGGGACTAGTCAAGGCTTCGGTGTCTGGGTGGCCAGTGGCTGTTCATTAGAATTAATGACGTTCGGTGAGGCAGCTAGAGTTTCTTTGCGTTTCCTTTATATCGTCTTGGATATAGGATCAGTTTTCAAAGTTAATTGCAGGGGCGATGGGGGGTAAGGACATATGTCACACCTTAATAAAGAAGAAAAAGTTAATTGTACTCCTGTACACTGACAAATAGAAAAATATAATTTTTTTAAAGGCACAATTTATTTACACTGGAGCAAAATAAGGTACCCAGTAATACAGAAGTACATCTCAGAATCAACTATAAAAGGTATAATTATTAAGTATTTTAAAAATCGCATCTTAGAATCAAATTTGGTATTTTAGGTTGCAAGACCCCTGAGTCTCTAAGACCTGCCTTAGTGCTTCAGTTTCCAGAGGTACGAGGGCAGGAGAGTGACTGTGCAGAGACATTTTTAAGATACATTTATTTTGTCTTCCAGCTAATTGTAAGGTGTGTTTTGTGGCCCTCGTTCAGTCCTTCAGTCACTACAATATTGTGGGACAGAAGCTGGTAAGTATTTCAGACTTGGTGGTGAGGTCCCTGAGTGAGTGTGTGTGTGCCACGTACGTGTGAGTGCTCTGAGGTTGTAGAGAACTAAGCAAGAGAGGGGCTAAGGAACTCGTGCGCCCCTGAACCCTTTATCTGAAGGGGTTAAACAGCATCTCATGTTTTGTTAATTTAGAGTTTAACTCCTGTGGACTCAAGGGTCCCAGGTTTGATTCTGGTCAAGGACATGTACCTTGGTTGTGGGCACATCCCCAGTGGGGGGTGTGCAGGAGGCAGCTGATCGATGTTTCTCTCATCGATGTTTCTAACTCTCTATTCCCTCTCCCTTCTTCTCTGTAAAAAATCAATAAAATAGAGTTTATAGACCCAGATTTTTGCTCATTAACCAAATCGGTCTCTACTGATTCTGGACCAGTCACGGTTTCCCGTCTCCATGTGGGCTTTCCTCTGGGCCCTGCTGGGCTGGCCATCACAGCTTGTCTGCCACCAAGTTGAGTGGCTCCACTGTCTCTCCCTAAGTCTAGGGCTTAAGGCCCAGATGTGGGGACAGGCACTTTGTCACCTGCACCCCATCTCCTCAGGTAAAGGCAGGTAAGCACGTGACGGCCCAGAGGCTGCTCAGGGCCTAGTGAGGCGTGTGTTTTGTTTTGATAGGCCGGCCTCACAGGGAGAGAACCGGTCACCCATCGGCAGCGATCTCTGAAGTGCCAGGTCACCGCACTTCCCTGATGCAGGGAAGCAGGTGGGAGGGTGAGAGGAGGTGGCTCCTCCTCACTCTGTGCAGTCAGGTCAGGAACACGCTACATTCCAGGTCAGGCATGTCCCCCTCTGGCCGTGACGTCGGACTTTCTGGATGAGAGAGCTGTGTCTCAGTCCAGATGGGCTGCTTTTCCGATGCCCGTGGCCTCACCATCCACACGGCAGGGTGGTTGGCACATGCTGGGTGTGCACAGCCTCGATGAGCTGCCGTACCCTAACCTCACACCCTCTTGGTGGGTGACTGCACTTAACGAGCAGAATGGCCGTGAGCAAGAGCGCAGGTGGCGGCCAGGGGGCTTTCTGTGCCCGGCGCTGCTGGCGCTGCTGGCAGCGCAGAGTGGAGAGCTAGCGGGTGAACGAGCCATGGAGACCTGCACAGAGAGGGAGTGTGCCACCGTCCCTGGCGCTTTGCTGAAATGCTGACTCGGGCTCTGCCCCTGAAGCTTCTGGCTCTGGAGGTCTGGAGTGGGGCTCGGATCTGCATTTAATCAGTGTCTTGAGGTTCTTACTTGGGTGGTTCATGAAGAATCCTATTTAAGAAGTTCTCATTAGGCAAGGGTCGACACACTCCTGCCTGTGCCCGGTGTTTTGTAAATAAAGTTTTATTAGAACACAGCCACACCCATTTGCTGATGAATTGTCTCTGGTTGCTTTGGTTCTATAATAGCAGAGTTGAGTAGTTGCTACAGAGACTGTCATTCTCCCACCCCCTTACTGTTCCTATTTACTTACTGCTTTTAAATGTGCTTAATTTTATAAATACATGCATTTAAAAAGGAATCTATATTACTATTGTAAATTAAAATCTGTCTTGGGTAATCATAAAATAAATATAAAAGCAAAAATTGCACTTTCTTAATATAAAGTGACAATCAATGTAAGTGCATCTCTGAAAACAATGGGAATTGTGGGTGGGAACGCCCAGGGGAAAGGAGACACGCGCCCAGGGAGGGTGGACAGGTGCACACCCGCAGGGTGTGGGTGGGGCTGTGCCCTCCTGAGAGCTTGAGGTGAGAGCCTGGGGTTCCCCTGCGAGGCGCCGTGGCTCACGCTCTTGGTTGTGCTCAGGGTGTCAGCCTGACCACGGCCCGGGAGCGCGGGCAGCTGGTCTTCCTCGAGGGTCTCAGGTCAGCGGTGGACATCTTCCTCCGGGCCGAGGGCGAGGCCCACCCCCTGCAGTTCCTCAGGTCAGTCCGCCTGCAGCCCAGCCCCAGGGCACAGCTGGTGGGGCCAGCCCAGCAGCTGTTGCCTCCCCCTCGGTGCGCGGTGCGCGGGAGGGCAGTGCGGCTTCGGGTCAGACACGCCCCTGTTGCGGCAGCATTACTGGAAGCCCTTGCTCTGACCCTGGGCCGGAGGGCGGGCGGGCGGCTGTCCCCAAAGCTGTGGGAAGTGTTGTCTGCGGGAATCTGGTGACCGGCTCTGCTTCTGGGAAATGGCCGCTGAGGGAGTCACGAGGGAGTCCCGGGGAGATGGGCCAGCCCCTTCAGGAACAGGTCGCCTGTTACACACCAGCCGCCCCGAGACCAGAGCCCCTCATGCAGGACCCTGAGTTGCTGTTTAGCTTTTTATGCCCCATTAGGACCTGCTGGGAGGGCTGCTCCCGCCTGCCCAGCCACAGGAGCCCTCCAGGGCCCCACCTCGGATCAGAGGTGCGGGCTGCCCCTGTGGGCCTGGGGCTGTTGGCTTTTGTGTCTGCAGTTTGTAGCCCAGTGCCTGGTGCCCAGGGGCCTCGAGGAGCATTTGTGTTGAAGCACAGCCCACTGCACGCACAGGCCTTTTCTCGCTGACCAGCCTGACCCCTTGGGGCAAAGGACTGGGGTCCAGCTCCCTGCCTCCCCAGCCCCTCCCCGTGATGCCGCTCAGTCTGAGAGGCAGGCGGTGGAGAGTGAACTCTGCTGACTTCTGCCCCGTGTCCAGGGAGGCCAAGGCCGCCAGCCTGCAGCCGCTGTACGAGTTCGTGCGGGAGGCCCTGGAGCCCGTGGATCAGGGGGAGGCTGCCTGGAAGCGCCCGGTGCTGCTGGTGGACGACCTCAGTGTGCTGTTGAGCCTGGGCCTGGGGGCGGTGGCCGTGCTGGACTTCGTCCACTACTGCAGGGCCTGCGTGTGCTGCCGGCTGCAGGTACCACAGGCCAGGCAGGCCCAGCCCTCGCTGGCTCGCGTGATCTGTTGGCTCATGGCTTGGGGTCGGGCTTTCCTCTGGCAGGCCCAAGAGTCTTTGGGGCTCTCTGCTCCCCGTACCCGCCAGTGCGAAAGGGATGGCGAGCCGTCTCCAGGGGCTGGTCGTGTGGTGCTGCGAGGTCCCAGCCCTGTGTGTTCTGGGCAGGTCACTATCCCTCTGGGTGTGTTTACAGATCAGTTGAGATAATGGGTATAAGTGCTTTAAAAATTGTGAGGTGCAGTACAAGTTGCTTGTCACCTTTATTGTCAAGTTATTGGGCAAAAATGGAGACTTTACCATAATAGAGATTTTATTTTATCTTTGGTCAATCCTCACCTGAGGATATTTTTCCATTGGTTTTTAGGGAGAGGGAGAGACAGAAACATCGATGTGAGAGAGACACATCGATTGGTTGCCTCCTGCACGCGCCCGGGCCAGGGCCAGGGCCAGGGCCCTCCCCGCGAGGTGCGTGCCCTTAACATGGAGCCTGGGACCTCCAGTCCGCAGGCCGCGTGGCTGCTGGAGATGAGCTGGAAGCACAGGCTGGCGGTGCTGGTGATGGGATGCCCAGTGGGTGATTGGAGCCCAGGCAGGGCCCTCCCACAAAGGGGCTGGTCGCGGCCCGATGCTGGGGTCCCTTCCGTCAGGAGAGGCTTCGTCTGTGTCTGTTGCAGGGAAACATAGTGGCCCTTGTGCACGACAGTGCACCTGAAAGCACAAAGTCACATGACCATCCCAAGATTCCCTAAAGCTGCAGCGCGAGTGTTCAGTCACCAGCCCCACCTGGTCCTGCGGGCCGAGGGCCTGGCCACCGGCTTCTGCAGGGACGTGCACGGGCAGGTGCGCTGGGTGGGCAGCATCCTGCTGGGTGACGGCTGCTGGCATCTGTGCCTGAGCCTGGCTCTCACGTGGGAAAGTGTTCCTTTAAAATCGGGACCCGGGCGGCTTTCCCTGAGGCTGGGTGGCTGCCCCTGCTGCCCTGCACAGTGCGGGGGAGCGCTCAGGCGGAGGGCGGCCTGCACCCAGGGGAGGCCGGGCTCATCCCCGCTGCCATGCTTCTCCGCCTTCTGAGACTTCGCCCAGCCCCACCCCAGGCTGACTTCCTGCGGCCACTCTCGCCCAGGGGCACTGAGGCCAGTGTGGGGTCTAAAGCGGCGCGGCCGTGCTGAGCGCCGGTGCCCGCGGCCAGCGTGCAAGGTCCTGCCGGGCGCTGGGGCCTGGCCCTGAAGGCTCAGGACGCGCAGCCGACGTCACCCAGAGGAGCGGAGCCTCCGGGCCTGAGTGGAGCGCTGTAGTTAGTGTGGCAGCAGGTGCTGACCGTGTGGGGAATAGGATGAGGGCCCCACAGACACTGCGCGGAGGTTCCCTGGTCACTGTTCCTCTCTGTGGGGAGCAGGTGTCACTGTCGTCATGGAGGCTCCTTGACTCTCCGCTGCTAACGGAACAGCCTGGCTGTGGAGTCGGCCCAAATCTGCACGGCACACGTGCCAGTGATCTGAGGCCTGAGGGCACGGAGGGGCCCGGAGGGCACGGGGGCGGGGCTGG